TTAGGCATAAAAAGTATAAAAATAAGATGACGATATAAAAATAGGGCAATCAAGGAGGATAGGCACTGCGCACTAAATAGGCTATCTACCTTGAGAGTGTCACGAAACAAAGGAGTGACCACGCAGGAGGTTGGCAGTTATGACGCACGATCGATGGATCAACCTGCGTCATTGTTAAATGCGAGCCAAATATACACGTCTCTTTTGAGGAGGAACCATTCTTCAACGTAGTACGGCATAGACAGAACAGAAGTGACAGACTCAACGTATTTCATCATAACAACGTTAACATGTTCACAATAATAATCACATGCCAATATGCCCACATTACAATTACACTAACAGTATAAACAAAACAAATCAGTACCACTATTATATCATCACATTAGCAACATAAACACGTCAATATCTATTTAACAACAAACATGTCAATATTTCACTGACAGTACAAACACGTCAATAGCTCACTACTACCCAAACATATCAACAATGTAATACTATTACAAACATGTTAACAACTCATTATTTTTATTAACACATCAACAACTTGCCAGAACAATGTCAACAAATCAGTTGTTCCAATTATTATTTACTATTCCAACCAATTCACTTTAAGCTCTACCAACATTCAAACTTTATCATGTACTAAACAGCTCTATTCTCCTAGACATCATTCTTATAGAAAGAAGGAAACAGCTCTTTGCATTAATATACATGGATAAAAGTAACAATATAGTTATTACAGAATCTTTCAACTCTATCACTGCACCACTATTATCAAACTATTCTTTTAAATGATTCATTTTGATGCAGAACTTGATCCATCCCAAATCTTCAAACCTCTCTATAATCCAAATTGACTTTTCAATCAAGAGCCAAGACAGCCTTTAGGTCCAGGCCACTATTCCAAAAGTCAAACTCGCTACCCACTTGGATGAGTTTTTGAGGTTTCAAAATTCCTTTCAGAAAACTTTCCTAAATAATCAGCATCTTAGAAAGGGAGTCTTAAACAGTATATCCATTAAAGGTTGAGACTACTCCAAACACATTCCTTGAAATATGATTAATATCGAAAGGAAAGTCAATAGGGAAAAATGAATTATATAATCTAAGAGCAAGCTTCTAATTAAACACAGCAAATAAATCTGCCTCTATACAAATCCTCAATCCTATAGATTCTATATTAACCTATATTCCTACATTACCAGTTCAATCAGAATTACTTACTTCATGTATGAACTCTAACCAACCACAAATCACTTTACTACTATTCAATCAAATATCACCACAGCTGAATATAGATAATCTTAACAACTTATCCATATCAATCGACTTAAATTTTCCTATACCAAGCAACTTAGACATAAGAATATCTACCAGCTTCTACTCAACTCCAAAAGGTAACAATAACTTTTCTCCCAACTCCATCAGCTCTTCAAATATAATTAGTCCTGAGGAACTAGACAAATCCCCTTTATCACCTATTAGATTCCTATCATTTATGACTTAAAGCTCCTCTTTACATAATTCATCTAGCTTAACAAGTGCTATATTTCCAGATATTCGAACAATAGATCCCAGCAAAAAGAATATCTATAAATCTAGAAAAGATCAAGCCAAAGCAAGACTTACTGATTATGAGAACAATCTATTATCAAAACCAGTAAATATCAAGTCCCATAGCTTTCTGGATTATAAACACAATAGTAAACTGGATAGCAGCAATATTCTACCACTAGAAATCTCAAACAACCATCATCGAATAGTATAGTGGGCCTCTAAATTGTTATCAATCAAAAGCAAACCTCATGATCTTATTAATATTATTCTTGACATTCACAAAATGCCTAAAGAGAGTTTCAGACAAAAATCACACATTACCATTTTTATCAAAATCAAAGCTAGAGATAGACAATTCTTCAGACTTTTTTCTAGAATGGATGAACTCAAAAGCAATTATCAGAAAAAGTATGAAGTAATAGAAAAAAGCTTTCAGAACAACTATAAAGAGAAAAACAAAATTTCATCTCTTAATTGGGAGACAAGATCCAAAATCAAGCAGTTTTTAAATGCTTGTCTTTTTATTGCATATATGTGTTATATCAATATTCTTAAGCTTACTCCATCCCTCCTGGCTCAAATTTTGGATTTTAGCTGCAACCACTTTTATTGTCCTGCAGACTCAAAAGATTTGGACCCATCTCAAATCTATTTTTTGTATAGAAAGTTGTTCCAGGATAACTTATTAGCACTTCTAGACGATTCAAAATCAATCCCATCAGAAACCAAAGCAAAAATCCTTCACAGAATTCCTATCAAAGATAGAAGTACCACTGCTGAAGTAGCAAAATCTTTACGTCCTTTTTACAAGTTCAGACTTCTTCCAGAATCATATTTCGAAATACTTCCTTCTCTTCCAGAAGATCCAATCAACCTATCAGAATCTCTCTCATATTTCTTTCCTTTTATGAAAAGAAGTGATCTGAGAAATCTTGGCAGATTAATTGACAAACTAAGAAAACACTTTACTATCTCTTCCAAACTTCTTGAATCATACTTCAATCTTCCTTTACCAAAAATTCTCTTGCCCTCCTTTTCAGAAGAGCTCGCATCAGAATTTGTACACCTCTTTTTCTTAGATTCTTATAAACAAAACCTAGAAGCGATAATTAGAGATTTTAGGGTCAAATACTTCTTTAAACAGCTTCCTCCAAACTTTTTCTTCTCAAAAAAATCTTTTCCATATAATCCATTATCAATTCTCAATGAGCTCACAAGTATCTTCTTTCAACTTCCTGCTGATATACGACAAAATGCTCAATTTCTTATTAACATACTCAAAAAAAATTTCTTATTTCATTTACTTCTGGGGCCACTATAGATTCTTTTAGAAGTTTCCCAAATAAACAAACCATAGTTACCAAAAAATATTTCAGATCTAGATCCATCTCTGGGTATCAGCAATTTCATTCCCAAAGATCAAAATCTAAGAAGCATGATCAAGATTCTTCATAGTCATTATGAATTTCAAAGAATCCCCAAATCATGGTTTGATATTCCCCTCATTCCACTACCTGAAAATCCTCAAGATATTAATCGCATTTTTAGAGAAAATGAAATTCATAACCTTGTCATCCCCCTATCAGATAATGATTTTCTCTTATCCAACATACTTGAACTTTACAAAATCTTCAAATTCAAAAGACTACCCAAATCTCTTATTACTATAAAAAAACTTCCAAAACCTTAGTTCAACCTTGCCCCTCTTCTAATTTAATAATTTCATGATTTTAAACCACAATTCTTCAACTTTAAACCACAATCCTACTAACACACTCACCACAAATAATTTCTCCTATATCAATTATTCACTCAACCTTCACACATCTTTCACCAATCTCAACACATCTTCATTTCTCAATAACATTTCTTCTACAACCAACACTTCTGATCCTATCTCATCTCAATTGTACCAAACCACTGACTACATCAATTCTATTACTATTTCCTCCCACAATATCCAAGATCTTATCTCATTAATTACAATAAATACAAGAGGACTCAACAATCTTACCAAATTACAAATCCTCTCCAACTCAGTTAGTGACAAAACAGTATTATTCTGCACAGAGACCAAATTAAAAAAAGAATGAATTTCATCCAAAAAATATTAATTGCAGGTCTGTCATTTATGGAAATTCATCCTCAGCAAAGAATGGAACTGCTATTATTATAGGAAAAGCCCTTTTTTCCTATATGTTTAAAATAATAGAAATATTAGAATTCTGCTCTTCGGTAATTCTAAAATTCAAAGGCAAGACCAGTATTTTTCTATTTGGAATTTATCTTCTATATGACAGAGAAGAAAGAAGAATAACAGAGAACCATGTTCAGCAATCCATTAGAATGGCCAGTATTCTCAAACTACATCACATTATTCTTGGCAACTTTAATTTTTTTCCAAAAGAAGCTTTATCCATTGGCACCTTTATCACCCTTTACAAATGAACAATTTATAATTATCTTAACAATTACGTGAATATTGGCCAGCAATTCAATAAAGAAGCTTTTACACATCTTACTTTTACAAGTGTATTACACATCGATCAAATTTGGGTATTTCAAAACTTGACACCCAAAGTTATCTGGTACAAAGTCAGTGAATGCGATATTATTTCAACAGATCACCATTCTGTCTCTATCAAATTAGATTGGTTTGAATTCAGAAAGGCCAAACCAATCTTCAAGTTCAATATTGATAAGACTACCAAGGAAAATCTAGCCAATTTTTTCAAAGATATAGACTTATGGCTTAGTGCTTCTCCCCTACCTCTTGGGAAGAGTTTAGCATTCTTGTCAAGTTTTCAATGAACAAGTTTATCAAAAAAACCAAAGTAAATATCTCAATAAAGAATCAACATACCAAAGCAGAAAGAATATTGAGATCCCAAATCAAAAAGATTAATAAAAGCATGGCTGATATCAAGAGAAACAGACGTCTACCTTCTCTTGATGACAACCTAGTAGCCTTATGTCTCAATGCAAACCAATCATCAAATGTGTTTCTAAAAGGTCTCATGAAATTAAAGAGACTGCTAATTAAAGAAGGCCTGTTACAAGCCTAGCAAGAAAAATTTGAAGAATATCATCAAAATTTTGAAACCATAGTAGAAAACTTCTACACCAAACCAAAGAACTATATCAATAAAGCTTTAGGCAAAACTAGACCCAAAATCGATTTTTCTCAGGTTCTCAATACTGAGGCACAAATAGAAGATGATCCAGATCTTGTCAAAAGCATAATCACAGACTATTTCAAAAACATATTGCACCAAAGATCATTTAATTTATCTGACTTCCCAAACTGGCAGGATTCATACAGTCCTCTTCTAATTGATCAAGAACATTATAAAGAGGTTTTATCAACAATTGATCCTACAACTCTCAACGAAGCTATTAGAAATTTTCCTAAGAACAAAGCATCAGGAAATCAGAAATTAGCTATAAAATTATCAAGCTTCTGGAAAAAAGTGCTGTCACTCCACTGTGCAATATCTTTAATACCATTATATAATTATCTACTATCCCTAATTCATGGAAGCATACTATTACTATCTTAATTCCTAAGAAACTGGTTTGGAGTCACAACTTGAATGACACCAGACCTATATTTCTCATAAACTCAATGAGAAAACTTCTTACAGGGCTAATCAACAAAAGATTCACCAAATCCTAAAAGCAAAACTGAATTTTATCTGATCTCAACTTTGCAGGACTTTCTGAACAAAGTATTATGGAACCATTGATCATCATTAACTCTGCCATTCAAGCAGCTAATGTAAATAACAAAGAATTTTGGTTTCATCCCTAGACATTGCAAAAGTCTTCAATTCAGTTTCTATACCAGCAATTCAAAAGTCCTTCGAAAGGATCAATTGTCCAGACAATTAATCAAGCTGGTTACCAATTTATTCTCAAATAGAAATGTATCCATCAATACTTCGTCTGATCCAACCAATTCCTTTTTAGTCAATAATGGTATAGAACAAGGAGAAACACTATCTCCAATTACATGGACCTGTGGATCTATAATGTAGTGATTAACACTCTACAGGTCAAATCACAAGATACCAGTTCAACCTTATATGAGAGCAGTTGAATAAATATTAATACGATATCTGGCATCCTAATCTGTATAAAAGTACTGTTTCTCATAAGAAGCCATTTCACACACTGATCCAGTGGGTATTGAGATTGTAATTTCCAGAAAAGGCGTCGTGATGCAATGATTGTCCAGTTGGTGTTATAATAATTGTCGAAAGTTGCAAGAAGTATGAGGTGTCTGCTTTCAGTAAAAGATAGCTTGGTAATTATTCCCTATGGTACCTAATGTCTCTTTCTACAAAAGATAGCCAGAAAGGTCTTATTCCAATCCAATAATAAATCACTTCGACAGTTACTTATCTCGAGAAGGTGACCCAGCAGTAAGACTGCTAGGTAACCTGATGGATATCTAAATGGGCAATAAGCCTGGTAACACAAGTTCCTTGGAAGTTCTTGGGTAGCTTGAGAGAAGTGAAAATTAAATGGAAAATAGTATATTTAGCTGCAGGTGGTCGAATCTGGAAGGTTAACTGAGTAGTGTTCTATTTGCCAAATATAGGTACTATTCCCAGTGTCCCAAAATTCAAATTCTCCTTAATTTTACACAGTATCAAATAGAACATATATAGTTATATCAATAGGATGTATTGCAGTAAACTTGAGACGGAAATACATATAGGTAGGCTGTATCCAGATGGTATACTTGTGGATGAATTCTAATTGTAACAATTGTAAGTGTGAACAGAAATATACAATGTATATTGTTTACAGCACAATTAATAAATTAGAGTAAAGCTTACTTGCAATACAAAAAAAAAAAAATCTCTAATTACATGGATGATCTTCTATAATCCACTCATCGTCAAGCTATCAGAGCATCCCAAAATTAATAGCTATTTAGTCCCCAGTACTCTGGCATATATGGATGACCTCACACTAATTGCAGATTTCAAATTCAAGCTAGAAAATCTTCTAGAAACAGCAAACCAGTTCTTTAAAATTAACAACCTATCCTGTAACAAAGACAAGACTAAGATAATCAATAATATCTCAATCAAAAACAATTCACTTTGACATATCTTGTTCGATAACTATCCTATTCAAGTTCTTCAGCCACACAAAAGCCTAAGATACCTGGGTATCCAAATCTCTCCCCTCAATATGATA